CGGACACGGCACTTGTCGGAAATTCAAATTAGAAGAGAAAGCAGGAGGTTAGACATAATCACGTAGCCGCAAACCCCCGGGGATTTGGTCGAGGAACGGTCATGGTGAGGCTCTCAACGCCCGCTGGGCTGAGGGGGTCGGCGAAATATAAAAGCCCTGCGACGATGGGGGCCAATTATGGACGCAGAATAGGAGTGACCTGTTGGTCTTTTCATCCATGATTTAGTGCCTTGGTTGGAACCGGCGCCGGTCGAACTAGTAGCCATCAGGGTATGATGGCCCATGCATTGGAATTACATAAAAGTAGTTATTGACTTGTAGACCTCCATTATGGCCAATCCTTTCTCAGACGAACACTACCATCACAGCTATTCTTCAGTCGACAGAGCCTGACTTTCCCTTAAGCGCAACTTGACGGAGGGTGCTTTCTCAAGCCCACCTGATCACGTTCGGGAAAAAGGGGGCCCAGCGGTCGGAGGACTCTCAAGATAGCGAGGATCTACTGCAATATCCGGAGTTGTGCCGTCCAATAAGGGTAACGATGGACAGTGAGGCTGTGGGCCAACGTGGGTCGTTCCTCGTATTAACCGAGACCCTACCACGACCCTCGATTAGGGCACGGCTCAATTTGGAAACTCCTGGCCGTTGATTCGAGATACGTTTGATTCTTTTGAGCTTCGAATATGTGGCGTTCCCGCTAGCGAATCGGGTTTCATGGTTCTAGACTACTTTTTAAAATTTGTAGCACAACATGAGATACTTGGTTCCCCTCGTGGGAGAACAAGTCCATTCATGTATCCTTATCGGCCCGGTCCGCAGTCCCTTAGAAGCCGAACCTGCATCATTGTTGTTGATGGTTTAGAGTATGCTGTAGAGGGGGTTTGAGCAATATCTGGAGCAAATATGCTCCATGATAGTAAGTACTACTAGCTTGGTCATGGAGATCATCGGCACTAAAGCAACGAGGTGATCGCAGCGCTTCGTCTTCTCCGGCCTTTCGGTGGCTCATCCGCATCACGTGTCTTGTTGGTACCCTGCATTAGAATCGCTGCATAGGCCCACTACGTACTCCAAGAATTCATAATAATGCTAGTGAAATCAAATCAATAATATCCACTAACTATACGGACTTGTATAGCACCAACGGACTGCGTTTCCGTGATACAATGTGGAATACCACCGCTAAACAAAGCCGCTCCAAGTCCGACAGACGGCAAGGCAAGCACAGGCCAATTTTCGGAGATCGAAGAAGTCTATTTTCCGGATATCCTGACCGGATGGGTATTTCACAAAACTACATAGTAGTAATACTAATCATCAGTGCTTGGATGGCTGGCTGGTGCTGATATCTTCCAGAATTGGCTTTGCGTCCGCTGTCAGGAGTCTTATAGCAAGTGCTTTCCTATGCTAATATCCTTGTAGATACTTTTGATTCTGCTAAGATTTATCTATAAGAGTATATATTCTTAGAAGATATTACAGTTAATAAATCCACTCTATTTTAATGCTACTAGAGCCATCATCATCGTCTTTAAGTGTCTGTCATTGTATACGGGCCCGCTCTGGTAGAGAGGTGAGAGTAGACTTTTTATTAACCAGATTATTAGGTAACTCTTAGATACTACTATCTCCTGTATAGGCTTTTAAGCTAAGTCCTCACTCAACTATATATAAACACTGCCGTCCTTCGCGATGCCCTCAGTCTTCCAGAAAAGTCGTAGATATGCATAAGATAAAAAGTGGTTGCTGCAACTCTGCACAGCTCAAGGAGGAGATGAAGACGACAATGTCGGTAGTTTTGTAGACTCTGAGTTGAAATTGATAAGATATATACACATTCACATAAGTTTCGCTCAGGTAGTAGTGATAGAACTGGGTATTGTTCTAGTGAACCACCAATGTCCGTGCTCAAGAACAAATAGTATTATATATTGGATCAATAAAGTAATATAATGTCTGATGTCAATGACACTTATTGAAATCAATAGCCTCCAGCCGTGGAAAACAGCCCTGTAATTCACTGTGTAGCTTAGACGCATCTGACGATAACCCCCCAATATCATCTAGAATGAGGCGCCTAAGTGTTTGTCGAGAATGACTGAGGATCTTGACAAGGTCAACTGCTCGTATTGACGTGAAGCATAAGGCAATCCTCTCTAGTGAGCTAGGGAGAGACTGAGATTGCGCAAGTTGGGAGAAGAACTCAATTGCCAAATCTCGCGGCGCCAAGCTGAGGTAGACTTTTCGAAGACTGGGGGCATGGAGAATCATATTCAAAATGAAGGAGTAATTGTATGGTGTGAGCTTGTGGTCCAGGTGGAGGTTTTCCAGTCGGCCCCATCCGGCTCTGAAAGCAGGATTTGTAAAAAGATCCTTGGGCAATCGCTGAATATCCATGATATTTGAAGTATAGTTCACTCCCGTACCATACCAGAATAGCTTCATGGGGAGCGATGTATCGGCAATGATTTCCAACAAGATACCAGCGGCATCGTCGGGATTGAAATGTTCATTATTGTTGGTGTCGTCTTCTTCTTCGGGCACAAACTTAGTTCTGACAGGGGATATGACAAAAGATCGGCAGTTCGTAAGCCGTTCAACGAGGTCATTTCGAAACCGTTGAATGACTGGTATCTGGAGCGGATTTTGTATGTGGCCTGCTGCGCTTCGCTGCCACTGCAGGTTCCGGCCGAGATAAGGTTCCGGGGTCATCACGACCAGGCGATGAACCTGCTCTCGCATGACCTTGTTGTTGGCAATAGCATGGATATGATTGAAGCTGTCTTGCGAGAAGTCTAGGTGAATTTCGGTATATCGTTGCGCCAAGCGATTTATCGTTCGGTAGTATGTATCGCGGCAGGTCCCAACCAGCGACGCCAGGTCTCTTGTATCTAGTTCATCGCAAATCAGTTCGAGTAACTCCAACGGGATCCGGTTAATAATAGTAGACATATTGAATAAAACTAAAGTGATATATAAGAGGAAGCAATTTAGGAAGAGAGAAGAAGATATTATTTGCGTCATCCGCTCTTATCGGCCGCGACCTCAAGGTCCCTGGAGTACCTTGGAGGCCCCTTCCGTGTTTGATCGCCATCATTCTACCACCAATGTACTCACTCCAAGAGATGTAGCTCCAAAAGTTCAGTTCCTGAACTTTAAAGGTATGGATCAACATTCAGGAACTATGAGTGTTGCTTCTTAAGAATATTGTCAGGTAGCTGATCTCGCGCTGGCGAATTTGGGTCCCATGCGTGGGCGGTTAGAATTTGTATAGGAATGACCATCCTGACTTTCGCTTTTATTGGCAACATGACCCTGATGGCACTGTCCACGCTTTTCTTTCCCTTGTGACTGAAGGATCCCCGTTCTGCCAAGCCCAGCGCTGCCTAATGTTTGAAAAACATTCTCTCTATTTGGTATCAGAGAAGAGAGCGAGTATTTATCATGTCCTGGTATAGTTGTTCAAGTATACCCTGTGATCTGCGCTATGAAAATCATCAATAGTCTATTGTATGGGTCCCGGAAAGCATAGGCCTGCTACCAGTGCTCCACCGTGCAGATGCTGCCAGATGGAAAATGGTCTAGCCGCCTTTTGCTTGATGATGGCCAGTGATCGAGGTTAGAGCTGTTACCACCTTGTGACGACAATCAAATATAAAGCGAAACGATCTCCAACCTTATCTCAGAGTTCGAAAGCAGCTGGAGATGCCCCTGTAGCACTGCCAAAATGGACCACGCCCAAGGCTGAACCGTTGTACATACATTACCACGTTTTGTGACCATGTTGTCCCTCATAATTCAGAGTGCTATGGAAGACAGTTGAGGTAGGAAAAGGTCAACCATTTGGCTGGGTGTCATTTCATGATATAGGGCAGGGGTGCCAGCCAACAATGTCGCTTCTCCACGGAGATCACCGGCTGAGATGAGACGAGGTGCCTGTTCCTTACATATTCGCTTTAAAGTTGGCTATCATTCATACAGTTTGCCCCAAGCCACGTGGGAGGACAAGGCAGACAGCCCCCAATTATCAGCCCATTCGAAAAGCAACCCAGTAACACTCAAGCGATACATGTGTAGCACGTTTGTGCATCAGTCTATTCCATTCGCACTTAGCCTGCTTACTCATATATTAATGTTTCCACGAAAGGAGCAGAGATAACTGATAATAATTTAAAATATGGGAAATATTTAGTCAATACAAGATCACTTATTATTAGCGTCATATTCTACTGTTACATCACACATAATCCCGGCTTCATTTGGGTATATTTTTATCTCTTCCGCCATTTTCGTTTTCGTTTTCGTTCTCGTTCTCGTTTTCGTTGGCAAGGATCATGCATCTGTAGACAATCAAGCAAAGGAACCAATACTATACACTGTCGCCGATCACAGGGCTCTCTCTGCCCATTGCTCTGATTCAATTCACGTACAATGGTAACATATACCCCTCATCTCCCCTGCACAGCCCTAATTCAACCAGGAAGTTCCGTTGGAACAAGACAAAGAAAAGGCAGATTGATACTATACGCTAGTCTCAAGTGTGGTTCCTTTCCCTGCAGGCTTTCCGTAGCATCCGCGGCGTGGCCGGGCACGGTCCCTGTCTTGTCGCTCACCCTTTGTGAGAAAGAGAAGGGGAGGAATTCGGTCTTTGTCGGTCAGATTTTAGTACGTACATGGGTCGATCGATGGGTATTGGAGCATATCCATCGAGCCACCTTTCGGCCCCAATTGGGCACGGACGTAACCCTAAGCCCGGGCACGTATGATGCTAGATTAGCAGCGTACTTCTCGTGCTGATCTCGTTCCTACGCATATACGCCGAGTAGCGCCGCTCCACCAAACTCATAACAAGGCCATCATAGGATATGATGTGTCTCCTCCTCTACGAATTGTGCGACATTTACTGGAAAGCCGACCAGCCGAGGGTCCAAATTGACAAGTCTCCACGCATACTATGTTTGAAAAAAAATTCAATTCCCCGTCCTCCTGTAACGTATCCACTATTTCTCTTTCTCGGCAGCTTCCCGAGCAATAAGATCCTCATACTCTTTGATATTGTTTATCCCCTTGGGCATGCCTTTGGGCGTCAGGCCCTGATCATCCATGAGCTTGTCTCGAACCTCCATGCAGCGGTTCCATGAAGGTCGGGAAACCATGCGGTTATGCCAAACCTGCACATTGGGGTATTGTGCCAGTGGGTCCTCATCTGGGGGTGTCTGCAACAGCATCTCAAGCCGACAGTTCCACGGCACGAATGCCAAATCAGCGTAGGTGCATTTATCGCCAACGAGCCAAGCCTTGCCTTCAAGACATGTGTTTAGCACGTCCAGGAAGCGGTGGACTTGGCTGTTGTAGCGCTCCATGGCGGAGGGGATTCTCTCGGGGTGCAGAACGTTGAACCTGATCATCTTAGTATACAAATCATCCGTCAAGTATCACATGCGGGTCAAGAGATAGTCGGGGGGGAAAGGAAGTATCCATGAAACATGGTTCGTCCAGGGAAAAACTAGGGAGTAATAGGGGCGGTCATACCATCCAGCCTGGCCAAAGTAGGGCCCTTGGCCACTCATCTGGAAATGAAGGTACTGGTTCAGCAGCTGTCGCTCGGTAAGCGAGTCATAGGTTAGTTTCTTCTCCGTGTCGTAGACCTCCTCCAGATACTGGATAATGGCGCCGGACTCCCAGAGCGTCAGGTTGGTGTTGGGATCCACGATCGCTATTTGCTTCGGTTAATATGTCTATCTCAAGGGTCCCCACGGTTCTACCATGGTTGGAATGCAATTATTACATACCAGGGACACGGCCGTTGGGGCAGATATCGGTGTAGGGTTTCTCCTTGACATCGTTGAACTTGAAGGATTCAATCACGTAAGGAACCTGGAGTTCTTCGAGGATGAGGACAACCTAAATGTCAACCAGTATGAAGTCAGCAAAAGGCTCTGCTGATCTTCTTCAGTATCCACCGTGCTGTGAATCCGGATTCGTACCTTCCATGGATTGGGGCCGGAAGCTTCCAGAACGTATTAATCAGTAGTGCTGTGCATAGAGGAGATCTAAATTGGCTTACGGGTCAACCAGACGGTAAGCGACTTGGTATCAGACTTGTTCATACTGCCTGTTGAATAGAAAATAGAAAGACGGCGATCCTTGGGGGATGTATGATCGAGATAGAAAAAATGGGTGGTATTCGCTTAATATATTCCAACTTAAACTTGCATTTGGAAGGCATGTCTCAACCCGGGGCCTCTGTTGGGCGGGCCTTTGGTGGCCTAGGCGACTACTGCGCCGCAACTCTTCGGGGTGGCAATCCTTGGTTAGTAGTGCTTATGCGCTTACTATTAACAAAGAAACAAGAGTTGGGAGTTGCTCCATAAAGGTATCGGGTCGTACATTACTGTATAGTATCCTTTAGTATATTCACCCTTGTATCAATACCTATATTCACCGTACCATATAGCCTCACCGGGCCATTATGGCCCTGCAGGTACGCATTGCGGTAGATGGAAATCTGCTGGTCTAACGCCCCATTTGGATCCTAAATACTTGGGTAGATATCTCTCTGCCTCCTATAAGTTTGGCTCGCCCTGCCCGCCTCCAATGCCGTCAATGAAATAACCATACGCGACAGTTCAGAAGTTTCGAAAAGTAGGCCGTTGGCATTTCATCCTGATTCCTGACTTAGAAATCCCCAAGATGGATATAGGTGCAAGAGCTATAAATCATTCTATAGATTAAGCATTGTCGGCAAAAATAGGATCTGGGTCCCACTTGGGGTTACTGATCATCAAACACATGAACTCATGTTAGTCGTACGGGTACGGGAACACCCGTAAGCGCGGAGGCAATAGCGAATCCGAATGTGCGTGATGAGTCCTGACTCTAGAGGACAAATCGGGTTCAAAGAAGAAACATTGTCCTTAAGTCTGCTACAACCATCTAAAGATAGCAGATAGCTAGTGGAAGAGGAGTTAGCCATCGTAGGATCCTCGACCTTTCATTCGGAATCCTCCTAGATCATTCACGTTCCGTTTCATTAAGGCCCTAGACAGCCAAGTGAACCAGGGGCCAATGTTCCATCATCTGCAAGGATATCAACGGAGATTGCAGTTTCTCTGGCGCTTGAATTTGAACAGTATAGCGGAATTTTGAGCGATATGGTTCCCTATAGCCATGGGAGAGGCAAGGCTGTAAAGGTAATGCCGCATGTTTGAGAGTAAGATACTGCCACCATGGCTCAGGGCACCCTTCACACCGCTGCTAAGTTGCAGTGTAAGCGTGGGTGTCAGACAGAACCTTGTTGCATTAGCTCCATGCAAAGGCCTCGTTTAGTGTCCTCGAACGACATTTCCACTGCCACGTGGATAAGGGCTGACTTTCTGCTTTTCCATGTCTTGATCATGCATGTCACATTGGGGGCGATTTCTTAGTTAACTTGGGCAGTTCTTCTGCTGCCCCTCAAGGGCCAAGTCTTGTTCTGCTAAAATTGGCCCCAACCCTCCATTCTGCACAATCTTAGTGAAAGACCCCTGTACATGTCAGAATATAATCCTACAGCCTGGGCTCTCAGCCCCCTCTCTTAAAGGGTAAGCCACAGAGACTACATTCTTCTCATCACTCTTTTATCCCATCGCTTGGCCACATGTTGTTCCCCTGACCCTCTTTCTCTCCTTCCACGGCCCCAGCCATGGATGCCTCAATGTCCATCAACGTGACGCCGGTCGTCTCTGTTGCCCTTGTCGTTGTATCAACCATTTTTCCGGTCTTGTCTCTATTGTCGATTATTCTCCGGTTTCAAGCTCGCCGAATAGGACACTTGAAGCTTGCAGCCGATGACTGGTGGATCTTGGCAGGATGGGCATGTACTTCCAAGTCTATTCGAGACAAAACAAATAGCTGACGTTCCACAAGCTCCCTACTTTTGGGTTGAGCATTACTATTTGGATCTTTGGCAGCATCACCGGTATTACCAAATACAAAGTCAATCTAGCAACGGGGATTCAGAGATCGTTCCAATGCCTTTTCATCTGTAGTGCCATCCTCCAAGTTTGCCTATCTGTGGTCAAGATTTCGATTTTGCTATTCTACAAGCGAACATTTTCGGTCCCTAAATTTCAGATTGCTGCATACATTGCCATCGCCATTGTTGGTTGTTGGGGGATCACCTTCTTCTTCGTAAGTGGTTCCTACATTCGAGATACATCGACGGCACAGACTAACAGACATTGTGCAGCTGATGCTTCTAGAAGGCGATCCGATCAGCAGGGCATGGACTGGGAAGGGACACTTCAGATTCGATCAAGTCGCAATGGAGTTCGCTCAATCTGCCACCAGTATTGCATTGAATGTCGCCGTCTTGCTGCTTCCCCTCCCCATGCTTTGGTTCCTACCCATGTCTCCCCATAGAGTGTGGGATCTCATTCTCGTCTATGTGTTAGGTGCACTGTAAGCTCTTGTTCTCCACCCGCAGCATTTCTACCCATGTACTTACTAGGGCCGGCGCAAATCACAGTTGCTGCGCTGCTGCTATTGTTCGATTAGTTCTGCTCCATGCTTCCATAGCCAAAGAGGCTACTGACCTGTCCGTAGTCCGTGAGTATAACCTTCTCGCAGGACTAGCACTAAGATGGGATCCCACGACTCACACTGACATGGTACCCCCCCAGACATCCACTCCAACCAGCTTGTTTTCATGATCATCGAAACCAACTGTTCTATAATTGCCGCCTGTCTCCCATGCTATGGCGCCCTTCTCAGAGGTGGGCAATCACTCGCATCGATCGTCCGATCCTTTTTGCGATCCACGGCCGGGCCCGCTCCCGCTCCCAGACCGATTCCAGTTTTACAAGCCTCCATAGCGGCAAACACTACCCCATCCACGGAATCAGGGATTTGTACGCCGATACAGGCTCTCAGGTTGAACTCACGGGGCCTATGGATCGTTGGTCGCGAACGACCACACAGGTCACCATCAAGGTCAGCGGTAACCCGCGCCAGAACGACGAGTGTCTCTCACCAGGAATTGTGGTCCACACTGAGCTTGATATATCCACCAAAGGGACTGATATTTAAAAAGAGTCTTGACGGTGTGGTTTCACATTGGCTACCTGGCTGTCATGTCATGCTTTAGGAAAGTAGTGAAATTAGCGTTCTTAAATTTGTAATATGGTTCTCACTCGTTGAAATAAATGGGAGGCTTGCTTCACTCATTCATTACCTTAATGATACTTTAATAATAATGTCATGGTGCATCAGCATTCGTGTGTATGCACCATGTGCCTGCTACGCTAATTCGCCCATGTATGATTTGAACCTATTGGTTCTGCCCCGTTCACCCGAGCCAGGTCAATGAGAAAGGCTTCGTAATGACAAGTTTATTATTCTCTATTTTATGGTTACATCTCTACTAATTCGAAAGTCGAGTGTTGGCGATAAACCCGGATTATTTACGGCCGTATTGGGCAGTATTGGCCTATAGCTGCAAAGTACAACAGAAGAAAGAAAGACCCCATATAGCGTTGGCTATGATCGAACTCGTCTTGTAACCTAAGGTCCCCAACTATTTATATGTTTGGTTTTGGTCTTCACCAACCCAGCAAGATGAGTAGTGGCAGAAAGTCACTTTTACATAAGGGTCCCATAAAATGTATCTTCTGAAAGGGTATATATAGTAAATGTGCAACTTGTTGACAGGTTCAGGGTGAAGCGAAAATATCTCGTCGCCTCACCGGAATAGCTGGTGGCCCTCTAGTTACAAGACAATAAATTCCAACGCAGTCGGATATCATACTAGGAACCAACTAGACCATTAGTGGCTTCGGGATACTTCTAGTCATGTTATTTAAGCTTATAAAGCTTGTTATGGGAGCTCTCAGCAGAGCTACGGCCTCAGATCAGATCAGGTAATGTCCTAACACTCACTAGCGGTCTCGAACCACAAGATTACAAGTGGTGTTTTTCTAATTTATGGTATAATATAAATCATGCACCAATTGTCTCGATTAGATAATCGTGGCGGCTTGGGTCGGATTAGTGCCAAACTAAAAGCTCCTATACTTAAGCTTATGTTTTGATTCTATATTGATGCTCTTGGGCCGTCGTAGCAAGCAATGGCCATCATGAAAATTCTGAGCGTTATCTACTCCATACCCATGAGCCCTTCCAAGTATATTCATTCAGCCTTAAACAGCAACCCCGCAAGAAAAGCAAGAAAATGACGGAAGGTACACTATACATGTACAACCAATAGACTCAGTAGCAGTGCAATGACGACGTACTGCCAGAATCTGGACCGACAAGTAAAAGCCGCCATCCATGGCACAGAGAACTGCAAGCAAACCGACTGACTCATGTTACGTATTAGAGGAGATAAGAAATGCCATTGCAGCACCCGCTATGCAGCTCATTGCCAGTTCAGTCGTACAGGGGTAGGACAGTGTAAGTAAGGATGTAGAAAGGTCAGAATTGGGCTTTGAGAGTATCACTACCTGGAATGTGTCTACCCTTATTAAGCCGCATGTGCAGATGCTGACAGTCTCCTTTCCGGAAGACATGAGCTTGCGAAGTCTTAATCACTTCTTGCGGAGACTAGACGGGTGGTCTAATAACATTCAACTATAGGGCTATGGAAGTATATATCTCGGTAGAACACGAGTGCCGATGCGGTGGATATTGCGATCTACACCGAGATCACGGATAAACTGTAAGAGGTGAGTTCAAGATTAGCACATTCTAAATTTATCCCACTCACACGACCATATCCTAGATTGTGCGATGATGCATTCTATGAGGACATTCATCGCACATTGTTTAGGGCAGGAACGCTTGGCGATTGAGGCTGAGCGGGTACCCCTTGGCGTCGATCGTTGCCGCGCAAGCTTAAAGCTCAGGCATCAATTCTGCCTGACTGGCCCCATTGTCAATACGCTGGGGATCGTGAGCAGTTGTATTTTGAATTCAGGTACGGAGGAAGGGCATTGCTGATAGGATTATCCAATATGGATAGAAAGAACAGTAGGAGATATTTTTTTTCTTTTTTTTTTGCTCGTTGCATTCAATAACTTGAACAGAATCAGGGTAATTGAAATGTTTTGGTTTCCCCATACTCTGGTGCCTGAAGAGGGAGAGTAATTTTTGGCCAGAGAGGGATACGGTACGATAACTCTAAAAATAACATGGGAAGTAATTTAATCTCCAGCCTCGTGTTGCGCCCACCAATGATGCGGCACGTGTCCCACCTTTTCTCCTCTTCGTCGTCAGTCGGATTCTCCACTTACAATCAATCCAACAACAACACAAACACACTCTGTCCCTTGACTCCAAAGTCGCGGAGAGACAGACTGTCTTTCCTCTTCCTCACTTGTACAACTCACTCTCATTTTCATACCTTTTTACTTCCTCCCTTTTTCTCCTTACTCCTTTCTTCCTTCCCCACTCTCCCCCTATTACTTCCTTCTCCATGCCCCTCTTTAAAAAAAAGCCCAAGACTCCTCCCACGATCAACTCTCCTGCATTCCGATCCGTCGAGCATCTCCCATCTTCGGTCGCATTCCCTGGCGATCTTGACCGACGCTTTTCCGTCTCCACCAACGAACCGGTACCACCACTTCCACCTCAACATCCTGCGCATTCCAACGTGGTTCATCGCTCGCAGAGTCACCGCCGTCCTAATACCTTTAACAACCATTCGGTAGTCCCGCCTGCCGCTGCTGCGCCTCCGCGCATTGTCGATGCTGACCTTCCCGATCAGTCGTGGCCACACCCACAGCCAGCGGAGATACCAGAGGAGCACGAAAACCCGCGACGGTCCAGAAGAAATCTCTTCTCCTTCCACTCGCATTCGTCTTCATCCCAAGCCCCTCGGGAGTCATCTGGGTTCTTGGAACGTAGTCGTTCCGTAAGGAAAACGTCTCCGGCCCCGCAACGACAGGAGCAACGTCCCTTGTCGGTGGATACGGCTACCGACCCCCACTCGCCGTCAAAATCGAGGGAGTATGTGGTAGACACTACCCAAGACCCTTCAACGTCCCCCGTACTACAGGGACAAGGCAATCTACACGAGCCTCGACCACCTCGCTCGCCGCAGACCCCCTCCATACAACGGTCGAACACCGATTCAACGCTTCTTGACCACATATACAGCCCATCCCCTGTGGAGCCCAAGCATTCGGGCGAATTAGCTCCGGGCACGGTCCAACAACAATCACAACAACAGAATCAATTGGGTCTTCCTCGTCCTTCATCGCGACAGTCCCTGGGACCTCCCTCGCCGCTACCACCCCCGCCCGCTTACTCCGACCATTCTGCCTCACAGAGTGCCATGTCAGATCGTCCGCCCAGTGGCCAGCGCGCCCCAACGGCGACTCCACCGCCGGGCGGCCATCAACCATACCCACACGGCAATAACAATCAGGATGCCACAGCACGCAACAATGCTGCGCAACAAGCGGAACAGGGTCGTAGCACGCCCACGTCCACTCGCATTCGCGACGAAGGAGAGATTGATGTGCGTACTTTGGTGCAGAAGCACGACGAACTCCGTATGCCCCTCGACCCACAAGGAAGATTTTGACTTCTTCAGAACTGACTTTTATATAGAGGCGAAGTACTCCAAAGTAAAAAGATATTATTTCGAGAAAGAGGCCCAGGTACAACAGCTACAGAATACTGTCGCCCATCAGCGCATGGCCGTGTCGCGTACAGTGCTAGACGACAACGAGTATGCCAACCGATTTGGTCGTCTAGACGGCGCCATTAAGGATCTGGCGTTTGCATTCCGAAAAGACTGGAAGAGCCTCCCCAAGTGGCTGATGGGTTACGTGAATGATGATGCGCACATCACCGGCACGAAAGAGATGACCGCGATTGGTCGTGCAGTAATTAGTCGGTGGCTTGTGGATGAGTTGTTTGAGCGTTTCTTCCACCCGGCACTAGATCCTACCTTCAGTCGACAGTTGAAGAGCATTGAGATGAACCTGCGCCGGCAGCAGGGAAATACTCTCACCGACGAGGATAAGGAGAACGCGATCGCACGCATTTCCAATTGGCGACGGACGACCTTGGATGGTCTGACAGATGCGCTACACGGACCAGCTGCCGAAGAACACCGGTGTCAGCTGATTGACCATCTGGTGGATAGTCTGGTTGCCAATCTCGTGTCGTATCTGGGTGATCCTCCGCCACCCGGGCTGGACAACGGCGCACGGATGATCGTGGAGAATGCGGTAGGCATCGCGGATAAGGTCCCCCTGGAATCGCGCGACGTCTGTATTGAGTACATCCATCCTGGCACCCTCCTACACGAGCCGAACATGAAAGTCGAGGCCGGTCTTCCACCACTTGCGAATGTGAGTGCCGAATCTGCCGCAGCGCGGAGGTCCGGCGATCAGGAACATCTCGAAGGACCGCCTGATGAGGCTGATAGAGAGTCGTCCGGGTCAACGAGCCAGGAGGGCGCGCCGGGCGCACCGCATCCCGGACGTGAGCCGCGCATGCGGTCTGTAATTAGCAAGGTGATGGGACGGAGACCGAACCAGCCTGCTGCTCCGAGTCCCAGTGGCAATGGCGACATGCGCCCTCCCACGGCTATGGAAGAACGGACCAGCATGGGAGCGGGGCGCATTCGGTTTGCATCCTTCATTACCGCGGAAGTTAGGGGACGAGGTCCGATGAATGTGTTGGTCAAGGCGCCTGTATATTTGATGGACTAATGATGATGTACATGCTTAGAGCTGCAATTATGATTCCTTTATGATGATATCGCGCAGTCTATCCGAACGGGTTTAGCCAAACCACGGCTCAAATCAGTTCTGGTCAGTGCTATGCTACCACTCTAAAATTACCATGTAAAGCATTGAACCTGGGGAAAGTGAATATAACTCACTTGACGTGGATACAGACGTATGTATGTATGGACTGCACCTGGTGAAATGAATCTGCTTAATATAGAGTGTCCGCTCCATATGGTGCCCTGGTGATCGTGAGGACGTTCCGCGTTCTAAGCTATGGACAGTCCGGAGATGGACGCTACTGGCTATTCCCAACACGGACATTCAAGGTTAATATGTTCATCA